CAGTCCCGAGAACCCTCGCTACGAGCATTACAGATACGTCGAGCCGGCGTCGAGCGAGAGCGACCATTATGAAAGATACCAGAGGCGCGACAGGAGCAGACAGCGCAGTCGCAGTCGGGGCGGCTATGAAGACCCCAGGGGCAGCTACACGGAAACTAACACCAGAGTTGCGTACAGGCAGAGATGAGTGTCTGTTTGGGAACCACGTTTTTGTTGGCTTACGATTGATATCACTACTTATGTCTTGAAGGACTTGCAGCATCTGTTCATAGTTATGGTGCGGTTGTCTATAGCTTTTTATCCAAACTAATTTACTTTCATGTTCAGCTGCTCGTGTATGAGGTCACTAGTTAGTTATGTTGCACCTGGACGCGATGCACGAACCAGCAAAGACGTCGCGCCGCACTTTCCGAGACGGAGAGAATCAGATCCACATGTTTCTCAGCCAAAGTGTCGAGTTCTGGCTGCCGGCGTACGCCTAAGCGATAGTCAGGGCAGCCTTGTAAAGCATCGGGCACCAGTCGAGTGGTGTACATCTAGGGTTGCGATCAGCATCCAGGCCAACATAATCCTGCGCGCTGAGAGCAACCGCCAAAGCACACGTGCTTACTTGCCGCGACCGTCATACTTGCGCAAACGCTTTGACTGCCTTGACGTGTAGCAGAACCCCGAGCATGATCGAAGCACCCGCGCATTCCTCCTCCGCCCCCGTCCACCTCCGACCATGTCTATCCGTGTCCTGATCAAAGATTACCCACACCGCGCAATCGCCCTCGCTACCTCGACCCACGCCCTCGTCCTCCGACACAGCTCGTCCACCACCGAACAGTCGGGGAACCCCAATGCCTCGTCCACGTCACTGGGGAGCAATGGCGCCGGCGTCGCGCGCTGCATGGTCGAGTTCACCCGACTGGAGGAAATCGATCTGGAAGACTACCGCGCGCTGCATTCAGTCAACGTGCACGGCACACTGGGCTTGATCACCGTCAACAGCGATGTCTTCCTCGTCGTCGTCAATGGCGCGAGCAAGGTGGCGACAGTACGGCCTGGCGAGACGGTGCAGAGGATATACTCGGTCGGCTTCTACTGCCTGACCAGCACAAGCTACGATACCCTGCTCAACGACGAAGTCAACCCCTACCCCACGGATACAATCGATGACGAAGGATACGAGATGGGCTTCGGTGGTAGGAAGGAGCAATCGCCCATGGAACACCCGTGTCTGGCGCTCAAGAAGATACTGAGCAGTGGAACTTTCTACTACAGCTCAGACTTCGACCTCACCAGACGGTTACAAGACCGCACAACCGATGCCGCAACCGTTTCTATCGACAGTCTAGACGCTGGCTTTCTATGGAACTCATACATGATCCAGCCACTGGTGGACTTTAGGAGCCGCCTTGCGCCGAGGGAGAAGGACGCTTTGGATGCTTCGGGGATCTTGACATCTGCCATCCGCGGTTTCGCACTCACCATTACGATTCCCAAGTCTTCGGCTCCCATCAGGGTACAGGATTCAGGCATGCCGTCGTCCATGACGCTCATCTCAAGATTATCCTGCAAGCGGGCGGGCACAAGGTTCAACTCGCGAGGTATCGATGATGATGGGAATGTCGCAAACTTTGTGGAAAGCGAAACAATATACTGGGCGCCTTCGGGAGCTTGCTTCTCTTATGTGCAGGTGCGCGGAAGTGTACCCATCTTCTGGGAACAGCAGGCTGGTCTCCTCCCAAACCAACAAAAGATTACCATCACCCGGTCGCCGGAAGCTACACAACCCGCCTTTGACAGGCACTTTGATAATCTGGAACTCAGCTACGGCACAACTCATGTTGTAAACCTGCTGAGCAACGAAAAACAAAACGAGTTAGAGTTGACGCATAGATATCGCGGGCATATCAGGAATAGCCCGTTGAACCAGGGAAGCAATCTTAACGACCGACAGCATGACCTCATCAAGCTTACGGAATATGACTTCCATGCCGAGACACGAGGACCCGGTGGCTATGAGATGGCTAGCATGATTGCTCAGTGGATCCAAGGTTCTGCTGAAGGATTCGGGTACTATCTCTCTGAAGATGTGGAAGAGGTGGCCAGACACAACGGAGAAGACTACGCTGTGCGCCGGACAATGAGCATACTGCAGCAGGAGGGGGTCTTCCGAACAAACTGTTTGGATTGCCTTGATCGAACGAACCTCGTGCAAACCATCATCAGCAAAATGGCACTCGAAATCTTTTTGAGCCACAAAGGCCTTCGAGCCAGTCAGGACTTCTGGGTCAGACATTCGAGTATGTGGGCAGACAATGGCGATGCTCTTTCAAAGATCTATGCGGGAACTGGAGCGCTGAAGTCCTCATTTACGCGATCTGGAAAGATGTCGCTTGCCGGTGCTCTGGCAGACGCTCGTAAGAGCGCCACCCGAATGTACATTAACAACTTTGCGGATAAAGGGCGACAGAACACCATTGACATGCTCCTTGGAAGACTGATTGGCCAGGTTCCAGTGCATCTCTATGACCCGCTCAACGACTATGTGGTCGCAGAGCTTGCGCGACGATCTGCGGAGTATTCAGAGACCGAGATGATCAATATTCTCGTCGGAACATTCAACTTGAACGGAAAAACGAGTGGCATAAAGAGCGATCTTTCGCCCTGGCTATGCCCAGATGTCGATCCATCACAGCAGTGCCCCGAAATAGTAGCTGTAGGCTTTCAAGAGATTGTCGAATTAAGCCCTCAACAAATCATGTCGACAGACCCAGACAGACGCGAGGCTTGGGAGGAAGCTGTCAGAATGTGTCTGAACAAGAATGCCGAAAAACACAGAAAAGACGAGTATGTTATTCTAAGAGGTGGCCAGTTAGTGGGTGCGAGTTTGTCTGTCTTTGTCCGGGCCGACTGCCTTACGCATATCAAGAACGTCGAAGGCGCTCTGAAGAAGGTATGTCCACATTTACTGCATCTTACCTATTGCGCTAAAACATACTCCAGACAGGCATGTCCGGTATGGCTGGTAACAAGGGAGCCGTAGCTATTCGATTTGAGTACGCCAATACCTCGATCTGCCTTGTCACGGCCCATCTCGCAGCTGGTTTTGCCAACTACGAAGAGCGCAACCGCGACTACAAGACTATCAGCCATGGCCTACGCTTTCAAAGAAACCGATCAATCGAAGACCATGACACCGTGATATGGCTCGGAGACTTCAACTACCGGATTGGCCTGAATAATGAGAAGGTGCAACGGCTGTGCCATGTTGGTGACCTCGAGACCTTGTACGACAACGACCAGGTAAGTAGTCACGTTTTACTTGCATGGACCATAGCTAACCAAAAGCAGCTTAATCTGCAGATGGTAGCTGGCTTGACCTTTCCGTACTACTCCGAGGCTCGCATCACTTTCCCGCCGACTTACAAGTACGACCTCAACAGTAACCAATACGATACATCCGAGAAAGCGCGCATTCCCGCTTGGTGTGATCGTGTACTTCGCAAGGGTGATAACATCCGACAAATCCACTACAACGATGCACCACTTCGTTTCTCTGACCACCGACCGGTCTATGCTACGTTCCAGATACTGGTGCAAAGGGTCGATGAAAAGAAGAAGGATGCCATGAAGGCTACTTTGTACAAACAACGAAGAGAAGTGGTTGGCGATACCCACGCGGCAGGCCGTCTGGGTGATGATGAGACGGACGACGAAGATCTGCTTGGGTACGATAGCATTGAGCCAGGATTGCCACCTGCAAGCTCAGATCGGAGGAAGTGGTGGCTCGACAACGGTACTTTTATCATCTTTCCCGCTATAGCTTGGATACTCATATTCAATAGGTTTACCAGCGAAAGCACGCGTGGAACCGCCATCTAATAACCACTTTCCAAACCCGAATCGACCCAGCAATCCGTTTACGCCTAGTCCAGAGCCAGACTGGATAGATGTTCGGCATATGCCGAGCAGTCGCAGACCCGAGCCACCACCAGCACGCGGCTCACAGAGAGCACGCACAGTCGACTTCAACGGCCCCTCGACCAGTTTACCACCAACGCAGAAGCCCGCGGCTCGTAAGATGATCGCTCCGTTGTATCCGGGTCATGCCACTCAAATCCTCGGTTCAGACGGTACGCGAGATTCGCTCAGCGACCTCCGCCGCAGCGGCTCAAGCGCGTCTACACACTCCCTTCCCAGCAGCCTACCTTACCGCGCATCAAATACGCTGCCCCAAACACAATCCTCCAGTAAACCACAAGTCCTCCGCAAACCAGCACCACCACCAATCCCCAACAAGAAACCCGCTCTCCTTTCTAAAGGTTCCTCTCCAGGACCAACCTTCGCACCCCCTCCACAACGTTACCGTGATGATCCCCCGGAAGAAGAATCGAGGGCATATCCTCCGCAGTCAACTAGACGCTCAATGGCTCCGCCTCCTCATCTGACCAGGAAACCAGTGCAAAATCTTATTGATGATGACGGTGACAAGCCGGCATTGCCGCCGCGCACAGGAAGTGGTGGGAGTAGTAGGAGGAATTTGATGGACGATGAGCCGGACGATATGCGTAACATGGGGGATTGGGAGGTGCTTAGACCTGTAAGGTAAACTGAGCTTAGCGAACGCGGATAGAGAAAGACTCGGATTGATATTTTGGTCTTTGGACAATAACCGTACAGTACCGGATGCTGACCAAACCCACATGCTCACGTCCGACGCCTGAGTACTCTAGGAAAGTACATAGGTAGAATGCGATCACGAAATAAGACCATGTTGCTTAGCTTAACTTGCTCGTAATGATCTCATACTTCGATCTAGTATGAACTACACTGTTGGGTGACTGTACGCGAGTTGTGACAAGGATTGATGCGACTCCCTGTTCGAGTCACGCGACGACGCGTGCGGTCGCGTCAGCGCTAACCCCATTAACACGCCTCACGAGCTCCACTCACACACCACGAGCCTCAAACAACGCGCCTACGCATGCAATGCATGCGCCTATAACGGCATGAAGAGAAAACGTAGCGCCTATAGCTGTGCGGGCGGCCGCAAGAAAGCAAAGGGCGTCGATGACCAATCTACCAAGGCCACCACTGTTAATGCTACTCATCCGGTCCTACAACGCCTCTATCCCGAAGTCCTTACTCTGCGCCAGTATCTGCTCTCTCGGCTCCCAAGCTCGTCGAAGAACAGGTACCGAAAGCTTTCGCAACTTGGACATGCCATACCTGCTGGAGACAAAAACACCGCGGACGACCTTGACAATGCCGTTGTGCAGTTGCTCGACTCAGCATTAGTATGCACTCCAGGCGTTCAACTAGAAAAGGAAAAAACAACGATTTTCAGTGAGGAGCGTGAAAAGGATATCGAAGCATTTACCCAGCAACGATCGCAAAGCACTCCGGGCGGCACGTTCAAGCCGGGATACTACAGACAATCCGAGGTAGGTCATACGAAGCATCACCCACTTAGTGTTTCGCTCGTAGAACTACCACTAAGTATACCCAGATTGTTGACTTCGTGATATGGCGCTTATTCAAGCGTTCAACATCTCACAAACCAGCACACTTACTCTGCCATGGCTTTCAAAGATCTGCAGGCAGCAATCGTCGTGTACAAGGGAACAGCGAGAATCCGAGTTCATCTATTCCTGGTCTGCAAGAACGCCTACCTAATAGCTACGCGAGGACGTTAAAAGAGCCAGTATGGTGCCGATTGCACGCATTGCTCGGCCAGGGTGGTGACCGCATTATAATGGACATGCTTCTGGAGTGCTCCATATTCATCTTGGTCAGTGCTGATATGGGCAACTACTATCAGCTCTCTGGGGTTCCTGTGCATGAGGTGAAATCGGATGAACCTCAGAAGAGCAACATCGCAAGAGTCAACGCGGATAAGGAAGCGCCCACCAAACCTTCACAGCTTAAGATTGAAAGCAAAAAGCCTGGTACCATTACATTTGTGCGCAGTCGCATGCTGTATGCGAAAGCAGCGCTCAATGCGAAAGGTGGTGTGAGATTTGGCATGCGCCATATTCGTGCGTTGTCACTGTTCTTCGAGTGCTTTGTCGGGGCTAACCATTCATAGATGTTCTCAATCGATGCACTGATCGAAAAGACAAGCAAGAGACAGTGCATGTCATGCGGTATATCTTCCCGCGTCAGTTCGGGTTGCACAACGTCTTCACTTCCAAGGTGGATCATCGTGAGACAGCCATGCCGTTCAAAGACTACACGCTGCGCGAGAAGGATATACATACCGCCATGTGCCGGGACCTAGGCCCGAAAGCGACAGACGCCCAGGAAATAGCTAAATGGAAACAGCGAATACCCAAGAGACTACGGGGTGACGCCGTTAAACTGGTGGACAAACTTCGGGTCCGCAATCAGCGGTGCTCGTATATGGAGATGCTGCGCCACTACTGTCCAATCGAGGTACTCTTCTCCATGACATGTATAGGAAAGTCTGCTAACTCAGATAGGGGGTATCTGTGTCAACGAAGCCAGATTGGAGAAAGAGCGCACTTCAGCCGAAGGCAGATGTACGATCAGTCGCAGATCCAGTCAATCGTCGCACAAAAACGCGGCCTACTCCTGGAAACCCCACCGTTCAAGAAACCTGTTTCACAGATCTGGCGTGTCCAGCAGCACACGTATCGGCCTTTTGTCGTGCAGTCATATCCAAAGTTATACCGGAAAGATTCTGGGGCAACGAGCATAACCATCGCATCCTTATGTATTGGGTGGACCAATTCGTAGACATGCGCAGATTCGAATCGCTTAATCTACATCAGATTACACAGAACATACAGGTACGTGTTCCCCTACATTGAGCATAGAGGTGTGCTAAGAGATCCTAGATCACGAACATAGCCTGGTTGCGCCCACCCAGCCAAGATGACGACACAAAGGTGTCCAAGTCGGACATAGATAAGCGTACGGAGATATTTCTTGAGTTCGTCTACTGGCTCTTCGACTCTTTCCTCGTTCCTCTGGTTCGCACAAACTTCCACGTAACAGAGTCCAACGCGCATCGGAACAGACTATTCTATTTCCGCCATGATATTTGGCGGATGTTAACAGAGCCCGCTTTGAAGGAACTACGGATGAACATGTTCGAGGAGATGCCTACTGAAAGCACGGAAAGACTGCTGTCCGCACGCCAGCTCGGCTTCAGTAATATCCGTCTCCTTCCGAAGAAACAGGGCTTCCGGACTATCATGAACCTCAAGAGAAGACAGCAGGTGATGCGATATGGGACTATGACTCTCGGACGAAGTATCAATTCAGTGATGACTCCAGCTTTCAACGCGATTACCTACGAGAAGGTCAGTGGCCGCTTGCGTTGACGGATTTACTATGGCTAATTTGAGGCAGTCGTTGCGTCCCGATAAATTCGGCTGCTCACTTTTCTCCGTCGGGGATATGCTTCCCAAGCTTGCATCTTTCAAAGCATCGTTGCGACAGCGGGGACTCGGCGACATTCGGCTTTATTTTGCTAAGGTTGATGTTCAGGCTTGCTTCGACACTATACCACAGTCACGCTTGCTGCGTATGATCGACAGTCTCATGTCGATCCAGGCTTACAACACCGGCAAACATGTGGAGATATCCCCCCTGGGCCCTCTACAGCGTCTCGGCGGTAAACATGTGGACCCAATGCCTCTCAAGAAGTACATACCGCATACTGAGGCAGCGACGGGTGTAACGCCTTTCCACCAACTTGTGCAAGATAGATTGGCAGGCACAAAGGCCAACACCGTCTTTGTTAATACCAATTTGCAACGGCGCGAGACCAAGGATGACTTGATGCAGCTCTTACAGGAGCATATCGAGAGAAATGTCGTCAAAATCGGGAAGCGCTTCTATCGCCAGAAGACTGGTATACCACAGGGCTCGGTTTTATCGAGCATCTTGTGCAACTTCTTCTACGCTCAACTGGAACGCGATGTGCTTGGATTTGTGCTTGATGAAGATTCATTGCTTCTTCGTCTGCTTGACGATTTCCTCTTGATCAGTATCAACGAAGAGTATGCTCAGCGCTTCGTACGCGTTATGCACAAAGGCCACCCGGAATACGGCGTGGTGATAAAGCCTTCAAAGTCGATGGCAAACTTCGATGTCACGACAGAAGAAGGAGACTGGATAGCGACAAGCGGCTCAGATGGTAAATTCCCGTATTGCGGCGTCTGTATCGATACGACGACGCTGGAAGTCAGCAAGAAAACGGAACGCCTTACAAAGGCCGGTAGGTGGCATTGCGCGCACAATGTCTATTTGCGGCTTCAGATGCTAACCGCACCAGGTGTTGAGGACTCTTTGACTGTAGATCTGACCAAAATGCCTGGCCAAACGTTCCATCGCAAAGCTCTCAAGTAAGTCTCGAAGATCGCGGTATGCACCGCCGGCCAATCGGGCCATGGACGGGGTGAAAAGTCCGACAATTTACTGATTTCTGATAGCGGATTCAAGATCCAACTGAAGGCCATGCTGATCGATCCATCGTTGAACAGCGTGGCAACGGTGCTAGCGAATTTGCATCAAAGCTTTCTTGAAGCGGCGGTGAGGTGCCTCGAGTACGCACGCGCGCTATCCAAGGTGCGAACGACGTGTTCGAATCTGCTTATCAGTACGTCTAAACTTTCCCGTTGCGAAGATTCCAACGCCCAATCCATCGATGCTCGTGCGGGGTTGTCGCGTGGGAGGGTGGGCGTGGTAATGAATGATGGTCTGATAGCACGAAAGCGAGCACGGCACACGCCACGAGCGATCGTGATTGCGCCGGCTACGCTAGCGAAGGAAATTGCTGACGGAGGGAACTGCAGAGACGGTAGACAACATGATTGCACTAGCCCATGTGATGCTACAGCGCCGTTCACGCTCGCGCGGCAGCAGAGAGGCAAAGATTGTGCAGGGCGTCATCTCGCGGCGGCAGCTTTCATGGTACGTGTGGCTAAGCTTCCGTGTTGCACAGCAAGTGGATGCACGATCTGCGATTTGGCTAGATCGCCTCCACGGTTTGCAAGATGACATGGCGGGGCTCGTATTACCGGTTTCCAACAGATGCTAATTGAAGGGATAGGCTGGCTTGTAAAGCTTTTCAGACGGTGTTTCAGCGCAAGCAGACGCAGCATCGCGCGCTGCTAGCCTGGCTGCAGACATGTCTCTCGGCAGCGCGCATGTCTGACATGGCGGAGCGACGCATGCTGGAGGAGGCAATAACTTGGCACTGAAAGCTTAACACGCTAGCAAAAGCGGGTTCCAGCGATAATGCAGTGGCTAGGCATATAGCGAAGATGTTGGGAGGTGCAGGTGTGGATGCGTGTGTGGTGACGGGATAGGAACTCGGGAAAAGCACTAAGGATCTGTGGCCGGGGGCCCACGCCGAGCGCCCACGTCTAGCGGCGGCATGTGGGCACGACTGCAAGCCTTGGGCCTTGGCTGCAGCGCTGTCGGGAGTGACGGAAGGACTGCAGAGAGGATGATGTCGTTATGTCTTTTTCTTGCATATTGCAGCGCTGGTAGCACTGAGGCAAGGCGCGGTAGTGTATACGCTGTAGGCGGACCACTACTTGCTCCTGATAAGCCTCGCGTCGAGCAGGCGACAGCAGACGAGCGTGCGTGATTGGCCCGCCGACGCTGGTATCGTGATGTCAAGCGTAGATGCGACGGCTGGGACACCAACCCCATCCCAAAGAAGCCGGGGTCGACTATGCAGGCTCGCAGCAGAGGGACAGCGTCGCAAAACGCCTGGCTAGGCGCATTGAACCAGGGTCGGGCTGGAGAAGCATACCTGCCTCAGTCGGCGCCGTATTGGTTTTGCGGTTTCAAGCACGATTGCATCTCACATATCGCCAGAACCTCGCCCTCTGCTCCCATGCCCGATCCCATTCCCAACGTAGAACCGACGGCTGCTTGCAATTAAACTCGACCAAGGCATCTTGCGCCGCTGACGGGTCCAGAGCACTGCGAGGCCCACCACTGGAGTCCATCCCTGTCCCCCGACATCAGGGGCTAGCGCGAGTTCCGCAAATTGCGTCGCCGAATCGACCAAGATGCCGGCGGTGCAGCATCACCAGCGACTGCCTCCTGTCTACGAAGCGGGCGATAGCGAAGACTGCGACGCCGACGTGCACTACATCTCGCAGGCCAAGTCGCTGTACATTATTTCCGCGCATAGCTATGTGCCCTCATTAATCAAAGCCCCTTGCGACCGCGACGACAGCTGGGCGAACCACGACCGACTGCCTCACCGCATTGGCACACCACTCCGCATCGACACCCAGCGACGACCGCCCCGACCGCTCATGGCCACCCTCACCTACGCCCACGATGCCCAGCAGACGTTTGGCGCCCCGCCCGGCAGCCCGCCGGACCTCACAAACTCAAAGTCGTCCAAGTCGTCCAGCATCCACTCGTCCACGCTGCTAGACTTCATGGGCACGACGGAGAACCTCTCGCACTTTGAGGACATCAACCTCGACGAAGCATCAGGTGGGCCCTCCTCCTTCCCCGTGCCTGCGAGCCCGTCTAATCGCGTCCTCTTCGAAGCCCCGCGCGCCTCGCTGTCCACCAGGAGCCTCCCGCACTCGCACTCGGCCCACTCCTTCCGCGACCTGACGGGTGCCACCAAGCAAAAGTACCCGAGCCTCAAGGGCCAGGTCAACCACGCCGTCCGCCAGCAGGCCCAGCTCTCCGCCCCCGGCAAGCAGGCCAGAAGAGGCTTCACCTCGCCCTCTGTCCCCTCGCTCTCTAGCCTGAGCCTTGCCGCGCCCCAGCGCTCCTCGCGCTCGCCATCCCCCTCAAACACACACAAGTCTGCTTCGGGACCCCGCACATTATCTCGCAAGAGCTCGCGGAACGATGTCTTGCCGTCCCCGGGCTTGGGCTCCAGGAGGCAGTCGTGGCAGGACTCCAAAAGAAAAACTGTAAAAGAAAGGGAGGCAGAGTGCGACGATGAAGACGATGAGCTCCCTGAAGACGCTGTCATCTGGAATGTTCCCATCTCGCCGCGCCCTACTCAGGATCGGTCGCCGGCGTCATGGACCGGAGAAAGTCCGCCATTAATGTCACCGCATCCTGGCGTCTCCTCGTCTTCGAGAACATCGCCCGCACCCTCTGCGCGCGTCTCCCAGCGGACCCCCTCCCCCAACGTTTCTAGCAGGGGCGTGTCTCCCCAACCCGGGGCACAGCAAAACACATGGGCCGAGACGTACACCGCGTTAGATACCGACGCCAAGTTGATCACAGAGAAGCTAGAGGAGTTCCAATCTGAGTTTGAGCGAAAGCAAGAAATCTCACGGCAACAGCCCGGTCTTACGCGTTCAGCGTCTATGAGCCAGCCAGAGCCAAAGAGCAAAAAACCAGCACTCCCGCCTGTTCGCAAGAGCGATCCTCTGATCGACCCTTTCCAGCCCTCAGTTGAGAAGCAGAAGTACCTCTCGCGCACCCGACCTTCATGGCTACCACCCAAGAACCCCAAGGAGGAGAAGAAGCACCTCAAGGAGTACCAGCGCATGTTGGCTCGTATCGAGGAAGCCGGTAAGTTATCTGCGCCTTCCGAGGCTCTATCTGAGACAACAAATGGCTAATGATTATAGAACGTCTTGAGGCTCAACGCGCGCAAGAGGAGGCGCTGGCTCGTGAAAAGGCCAGCCGCATCAAGGCTGAATACTGGTCAAGCTTACTGCTACCAAACTGGGCCACCGAGATGACCAACTCCGAGTTACGTGCCTCGCACAGGAAGATGTGGTGGAACGGAATCCCCCCACGGTTGCGAGGCCAAGTCTGGCAGAAAGCGATCGGAAACGACCTCGAGGTCACAGAAGCTACCTACAACATTGCCTTGGAGAAAGCACGCAAAGAAGTGAAGACACATGGCCACGAAGCGCTCGGAGGCCGCTATGTCTACATTGTCGAAAGCACCCAAGCAGTATTCCCCGAACTCAAGATGTTTGCCGCACGTACGTCACAAGCGGCGGAGGACGAGCAGCCGCTGCACCGGGACCTTGTCGATGTGTGCCTGGCCTACTCGATGTACCGCCCGGACATCCCACACTCAAGTTTCGATATACATCACATCGCCGCATTACTCTTATTGAACCTTGCCGCGCCGCAAGCCTTCGTTACCCTGTCTAATCTGCTCAATCGCCCGTTGCCATTGTCCTTCCTCATCCACGACCAAAACGCCATACACGCCGCCTACTCCACAACACTGCACGTTCTGTCGAAGAAAGCGTCCAGTCTGGCTCAACGGCTAGAGACGCTACGAGTTGAACCCAGAGACTACCTCTTCCACACCCTCGGCTCACTGTTCTGTGGTCGTCTAGGCGTTGAGCACGCCGCGCGCATCATGGACATTTACACCATTGAGGGCGACAAGAACGTCCCACGCGCTGCCGTCGCTATACTCAGTATACTGGAAGGCAGCTGCATGGAGGGTGACGCAGCGCAGGTTGCAAAGACACTTCGCGAGAAGAAGATTGAACTTGATGTGGACGAGTTCATGAACAAGGTGTTTGAAGCGGGCAAGAGCACGTAGACTAATACCGTCCATAGTCTTGGTGGTGGTTGATAGCAGCGGCGGTCAACAGAAAGTATTAATACCGTATTGTACAGTTGAGACAGAAATAATCGACCCATTACAATAACCACCCATGGACGAGAAAGAGAGAATAAGAAACAAAGGGACACCAGAAGAAAAAGATCGATGATATACGAAGACTCATGCAGCGCGACTTGGAGCTGAACATACACCATTTACCTGTTAATTTCCTAGCCTCTTTGCATACACAACCGGCGTTTTCGATCCTTCCCTTGCGTTCTTTGCATACACGGAGTTTGTCACTTTCTTGTCTCGTTTGAAACCATGGAAAGGCTCGTTTTTGCGCCATACAATCAATTGTCTTCCCTTATCTATCTTTGTATATAACACACACAATTACTCTTAGACAATTGGGAGGAAGCGAAAACCGGGTAGGTGAGTAGCTGAGCTTAGAATCTATAATCGCACAACAAACATGATCTTCATCTTTGAATATATATGCGAGACTGGTTGAATTGTGTTTTACTGCAGTGACCCCTCCTTTCACATGACGAACCTAGTGGCGGGGCAAAGTTTGTGTTAGTGGTAACGGTTAACCGTCACGATAATGGGCGGGAGGCGTTATCGTGGCGTAGCTGATGGGCGTGGGAAAGGGGACGCCGGGAACTAAGGGCCTCTCGGCTCTCGTATATAACGGGTGCGGGAGGGGAGGGGCGTGGCTGCATAGTGCTATGTTGCAATCTCCGAAGAGAGACTATCTGCTCGAGGCGTTTTTGTGGCCGCTGGCAGGACATTCAATGTTGTGCGTTGTGTGTTTTGTGTTGCTGAGAGCTGG